TGCTGCTGACACTGGGAGCTCAGGGGGGTTTCTGCACACACTTCCACACTGCCCTTGCAACGTGCTATTTACCTTCCCTCTTCCTTGGCTGCGCCTGGATCTTACCTGCGTATCTTAATTCTCATCTGTTTTCGCATAAGATACATTTTAGCCCTGCAGCATTGTGCTGCTATGACAACAGGCTTGCACTTCTGCTGCTTTCACACCCTTGTTTTTCTTGTATTAGGACTCTTCCCCTCATCTTACAGCCTTGCTCTAAAGACATGACTTCATCCTTTATTTTGTTTTCAGCAGAATGCACTGTGTGTTCTATTGCCTGTTTCTCAAGAAGTGTTTTTAGTGCCCGAGCTACCCTGAGAAGGTGGAGACATCCATTGCTAGATCCACAGCTGACTGCCTGTGTCCAGGCATTCAGGAGTAGCCAAAAGTTTCTAAAAAAGGATACCTTGTGTTATTCAGGATTGCAACAGACCCAGCTTTCAATCACAACCCCCTTCCACCGACTTCGGAAGTAATGGTTAAAGAGTGCCGTGTTTGTACAGCAAAGCAGTTGGGAATACCACAGACAAGGGAACGTGGTTATTTCTAAACAGGGTTGTTTCCTCCACGAATTTCCTCACACGTACAAAGTAAGTGAGGAAATCCGTGAGGACCGCAGACAGAGCGTGCCAACACACACGTTAACAGGAACAGAATAATTAGGGAGCAGAAAGAGGAAATAAAACCCCAACAAGTATGAGGTCTGCAAGATTTTGGAGCTAAACTGTTTTGTTCTGCAGCAATCAGAAGTTCTGAAGTTCTTAAATAAATGTGTCCTTAAACAGAAATAACTGAGTTTACTTTATTTGTGTGGACAAATACATATTTAGTCAGTTACCTAGATCAAATAATGGCCAGTTTAGGAGAGAAGCAATCTATAAGCACTACAAATCTGTAGTTAGTAAAGGTTTCTTTAAGAAAAAAACCCCTTGTCATCTAGAGATTTTTATAGAAGGAAACTGCAAATACAATCCCCTTCAGTAAGGCGTGTTACATTTCAATCCCTTTTCATCTTCATGTCTTGATATCTTAAGCGGAGTTTTTGCCAAAAAAATATTAGTACTGTGTTATTGTTATAAACACAGTAATGGAAATGGAAAGAGAATATTTTCCTGCAAAAAAAGGGTAAATCTTTAATTCAAAAAAGTCTTTAGTACGGTGCAGTTAACTCACTGTAAGCATACAGGAATAAACAGAATCAGAAGGATCAGTGTGTCAAATTCTAAGTTCGAATGTATTTTCTGAGGTTCAAAAATCTGTCAAGGTCTGTATTCCCACGAGTTTGTATAACTTTAACCTAACAAGTCTCTCGCTGCAAGTGAAAATATCACCATGAAATGATAGGGGGGCTGTTGTAACACTATTTTTAGGTGGGATTCTAGGTTTTTTTAGAGAATTTCTACAGACCTTATATAATCATCTGAACCTCTGCATGATGGTCCACATCAAGTATCCCAATTATTTTTGCTTTTCTAAGCACTCATTGGAAATGCAGGGGTAAAAGCACACTTTCTTCAGTTAGGGGTTTTTACCTCCTACCTCTCTCTCTCAAAAGACAGATCTTGAGGAAGAAACGTCCTGCACAACAACAGCACAGGATGCCAGTTACCTATGCTCAGCTATAGTGCAGGTACTGCAGCAAGTAAAATTTCATTATTGTCCTCCCACGATATCTCAGTCTCAGGATGCATCTCTTCCATATCTGAGATTCTACCAAGGCTTTTTATTGGAACACCTATTCAAGACCAGAGACAGGATATGTTTAGATTTCTCCCTTCTGCAAATGACTATGGCAGCTGGAAATGCAATGTTGGGATGGCAGGCCTAAAATGGTGTAAGCACTTACAGGGAGCTATGAGAACGATGGATAGAGATTTACACAAAAATAAGAAATAGAAGAGTACTTGGCATCGTCTCAAAAGCAGAACTATTCTGTAAGGGAGCCACACACCTCTCTGCTAAGGAGGAGAGCCCCTGTGTGGAGCAGTTGGTGTGTCCATCAGGACCTGGGGCTGTGCTGGGAGCAGCCAGCGCGGTGCTGGCAGATGTGCAGTGCCAGCGGGAGCCCTCCAGCAGCTCCTGCTCTGGGAGCTCTGCCTGAGCCCTGGGCTGAGCCAGTCCTGGGGTTGAGCCTGCCCAGAACCCCCTCCCAGCCAGCAGCAAGGGATCGTGCAGCACTGGCAATGGTGACTTGTCAGCCTGGTCATGTGCCCACCAGGAACTGCACTGAGCTAACCAGAGTGTGTTAGAGATGTCACCATAGCAATAATTTCATTGAATAATGGACTGACTTGGATGTTAGACTGATGAACTTTTGACAGGACCATCTATGTTTCAGCTTCTACCGCTCAGAGCCCAAAATTTTGTATCCCTTTACTCAGGAACAGTAACAGAAGATGACTTCTTCCTCTGCCTAGATCAGGGAAAATCCCCTTTCCCTGGCACATGACTAGGGAAGCTGTAGCTGCTCAAGGCTCATTCTTTTCCCTCTTTGGGAGATGAAGTGGGATATGGCAGGTAAGGAAACCAACAAGATGTGCTGCAAGAGCATCCAGCATCTGCCTGGGGCAACCATCCTCCTGTGTCTCCCATCCTCCTGCTTGTGGGTGGAGATGCAGCAACAGCCATGTGGGAGGAGCCAGCATCCAACCTGACATTTATCCCAAAGCAAAACCTCTCCCTCAGGGAGGTCATCCTCCAGAAAAGGAAAGATAAGCAAAAGCTGCCGTGTTGTTTCTCTGCCCTGCCTGTGCTTCCATGGCAGCTTCAGAAACGTGAGTGGGATTTACTCTGTGGTTTCACCCAGGACACTTATTTACAAGCACAGTCCTCTGAGCTGGTTGGCTCTGGACTGCGGCTGGGGCTGCCTTTGCTCCCTTCTCCCTTTCACAGAACCGAATGGGTATAGGAAAGCCTTGATGGCCACCTTTTTCCTTCTCCTTCCCTTGGTGGGCCCTGTTAACTCAAGATGATGTAGGCCTGCATCACCACAGATAGAACAATTTTGGGAGCTAGGAGCCCTCCCTCCTGTTTGCTGTTCTGGGATGGGACCATGGGATGGGCCATCCCCAAGGCTGGACAGGCAGCTGCCTGAGCCTGCCTCTGTCCACAAACAGAAGCATCATCAGGAACTTAATCCATTCAACACAAAACATACTGGAATTAACTAGATAAGTAGAGAGTTGGAAATAATGCATCAGACACGTCTGACAATGTCTAAACAATCAAATGACAATGGTGTTCATTATCTCACTAAAAGAAAAATAATATTTTTTGTGAATTTTGTCTATTAAAAATGGGGTTGTGTTAAATACTGACAGAACTTTCTAAGTTATACCTCTCTTGCTGACGTGATAAATCTCATGCAGAAGTTTGCCTGCAGAAAGATTCTGAGTACCATTTATTTGTGTGTCACTCTGCTATTGATAAAACTACAGATCTCCAGAGAAAGCAGTACAGAGAAAAAATCCACTATCATTATTGTCCTATGACTGAGTAAATGTGCATATACTGGATGCAAATGCAATTCACAGTGCAAGAAAATGAAGGAATGAAAATAATTTCTCTGGAGTTTTCTCATTCGCCAGTAACATTGCTGTTACTGTAGTTAGTGAGTTGACACTCATTAAATGTTTGCTCATTACTGTTGGGTAATATGTCAAAAAGAAAACAGAAAATACTGTGTGGCTCTGTACCACAGTTCTGTATGTGCCTATAGTGGAAATTAAATACAAATAAATTCACTGTAACAGTTATTTCATTGTTTAGTAAATAGAGAGGTCTCCCTGAAATCTCTTACAATAGGTGTTTGCATCTGTTTTTTCATTTTAGAAGAGACACTCCTTGAAGTGACAAAGAAGAATTAACATTGGCTTTTATATGGGCTGACAGTTTGACATTCAGGGAAAAAAAACCAAACCAATGCTGAAATCTTTTGGGCTTCCACAAGGCAACACCAAAAATGTGCAGGATTGAGCTAGCCACACCTCTGCTTATTTCAAAATGGTCCTTTCCTTTCTCTTGAGTGAACTTGACCCTCTTAACACTCAAGTTTTTGCATCTATCATCCCTGTTTTTCTTTCCAGGATTGCTCAAAACTACTGGGGCATAAACTAGAGCACCAGCTTGAAGAAACGCAGGTTTCTGACATGTTATGATCTATAGCACAGTGAGATGTCCTGTCAGACTGTGACTTGCACACTCCGTGCTGCTCAAGTGGGAGGATGCTGCCCGCTCTAACTTGAACCGGCAGCACAGGCTGCACCATGCCTGCAGTCTACAGCTGGGCTGGATTTTCTCTTCCTCTATGGAACCGGTGCTGGTGGGCTGGGAGAGGAGGGGAAAAAACACTACCCACTAAAAATAAGCAGCTGAGTTATGTCATTTGCCTTGATGAGCAGCGGGAAGAAGGTTTTGTGGTACCCCTCTCCATGCAGAAGTGCAGTCCAGACACAGCAGCAGCCCCTTAAACCATTCTCGGCAGCCTGATAGACTGGTACCTAACTGTTTTTGAAGTTTGAGTTTACGAAAGCCCGAGATGCCCTAACTCGGGAGCACAACTGCCATGCGAGTCGAGACATCAAAAAATTATTTAAGCAAGCCAGACTGCCCTTCTCGCTCACCCAAAGCAAATAAGAGCAAAATAGGGAAAAAAGAAAAAGATGGGGGGTGGGGGTGAAAAAAAAAAAAACCAAATAAAAAAAAAAGGAGGGAGAGCGCGGATGCCGCGGCGCGGCCGGGGAGCGGGGAGCGCGGTGCCGGCTCCCGCGGCGGGCTGGCGTCCCAACTGTTGCAGGGAGGTGACCGGGGAGCTGCGGTGGCAGCGCCCGAGCCGGGCGGGCACAGCACGGCATGCGCGGCTGGGTCCGTGCCGGCGGCAGGTGCGGGGAGCGGGGCGGGATGCGGAGCGCCGGGCCGGGCGGGGGAGCGATGCTCGGGGCCGGGGGACCCGCCGGGGTTACCTTGAGGATGAGATCGGTGTGGTGCTGGTCCAGCATGTTGGCCTTGCGGAAGGAGGTGATGATCACCCGGCCGTACCTCCCAGGCGTCTGCAGGTCGGAGTAGAGCCGGTGCTTGGAGCGGTTCACCGGGAAGAGGCTGTCCACCAGGTTCCTCTCGATCTTGGCCAGGCTGTGCGTGGGGGCCAGGAGGTGCTCCACGCTCTCCTCCACCTGGTAGCGGCTGAAGCTGGCGCCCAGCAGGATGGAGATGAGCACGGGTGCCGAGGCGAAGAACACCGGGTGGCTGGCGACGAAGTGGCCGAGCCGGGAGAAGGACGTCCCCAGCCCCCTGTGCAAGACCTGCCGCAACATCCTAGTGCGGAGGGCGCGCAGGAGAGCGAGCGCCGCGCCGGGGCCCCCGCAGCTCCCCCACGGCCCCCTCAAGACCATGGGGCAGCCCCGCCGGGCGCCGCCTCCCCGCCGGCCGCGGCTGCGGGGGGCCGGGGGCGGCCGCCGCGCGTGTGCGTGTGTGTGCGGTGTGTGCGCGCGCCCGCCCGCCCCTGTGCGTGCGCGGGGCGCCTCGGGCGCTCGTCCTCCCGCAACGCCGCCGTGCCCGAGAGGAGTTTCCCAGCCCCTCGGTGCCCGACTTCCCAACCCGCCGCCCCTCGCCGCGGAGCGGCGGCGCGGACGGCCGGGGGGGTGTGTGGGGGGGGGCAGCCCCGCCGCCGCCCCGCCGCGGGAAGGGGAAGGGGCAAGCGCCGCTCCCCGCCCCCGCCGCGGAGTTTGCGCGGGAGCGGGGCTGCCCGCAGACTGCTGACTAATCCCCCGGCCGCGGCAGGCGAGGCGAGGCGGGGCGGGCGCGCTGAGCCCTCCGCGGCGCCCCCGCCGCCCTCCGCCCAGGGGCGCGGGGCCACGCCGGGCGGCGCCGAGCTCGGGGCGGCGGGCGCAGCGCCGCGCCTCCCGCCGGGGCCCCCGCCCGCCCGCCGGCCGCGCTCGGGACGCCGCGGCGCGCCCCGCCCCGCCCGGCCCCGCCCGCCGCCGCCGGCACCGCCGCCGCCGGGACGACTGGGCAGCAGCGCGGGCTGCCCGCGGCCCCGACGGGCGGGCGGGTGGCGGGCCGCGGAACGGCCGCCCCCGGTGGAGGGGGAGTCGCGTGTGTTTCGTGGGGGGCTTTGTTGCGGGGACCCGCCGCCAGAAACGCCCGGGCGCTTCCCTCGGCCACGGGGGCCGGCCGCGTCCCGGGGTGCCCGACGGCGCGCCCCGTTTGGTCCCGCCGCACGGCCACCGCGGCGGCGCCGGCAGCGCGGCACAGCCCGCCGGCCCCGCGCCGCCCGAGTGGGCATGTGCGAGCGCCGCACATGCCCATTAGGGAAAGCGGGTGCCGGCGGCGGGGCTGTCCCTGCCCGTCTCACGGTCCCCGGCCACCCGGCATCGTCTCCGGAGCCGCCCCGGGCTGCCCCGGCCGTGCCCCGCGCCGGGAGCCCCGCATCTGCTGCTCCATGCCGTGCCCGGGCAGCGCTCCCCTGCCGCTCCCCGCAGCCCGAACCCGCAACCCCGGCGGCGGGTGGGTGAGCGCGCTGCCCACCTGTGTGTAGGGACAGACCGGATGCGATTCGGGGCCACGGCCTCGGTTTTAAACATAAATTGTACACAATTATGTTTAGGAGCACAAATGCTCTGCTGTTGGCTTATTTGGGCACACTGATTCCTAGCGCTGTTACCTGGCCCAGGCTGCTACTTCCCAATCCAAAGGTGTTGGTAATGGTAGTCCAGTTACTCTGCAGGCCGGTGGTTGTACAAATATGAGAAAAGGAAGTTTCTGTTTGACAGCTGTTACATGTATTGCTGCATAAAACGGCAGTGCCTCCCTGTTTTGCTTGTTGATAGGCTGACAACCTAGGGTCATCCTCCCTTTTACATTTCTGTAGTGTCTGACCTAAGCTAATGTTTTGTCATGGACGCTTCATATACAAAATCCTTGACATCATTCCTGTCTCCTCACAGCTAGGTCACACAGCTTGAATGCTAAACTCTTTCCATGTTTCACTTGTAATGTGGCGAGCAAGCGAGTGGCTTGATTGAGCATGGCCAAGGTCAGAACCAACATCTCTTGGTTCTTCTGGGTTTCTTGCCCAAGGCCAGGAATCACTCCAAGAGTGTGAGGTCAGTGCAGCAGCACCCACAGTGTAAATTGCAGGGATGCTGGGTTTGTAACACGATCCTGCCCCTGCTCGGCTCCACTCCCACAGAGGTGGGTCCCCACTGCTTGTATCAGTCCTATGTAAGTTTAAGAAAGAAATTCTAATTTGAATATATTTTAAAGAATATTTCAAAGGTGGACATAGAAGCACAGACATGGGAGAGGGCTGGACCCGAGTTTAGGTGACCACTCACTGTTAGGTCAGGCTCAGAGCCCCGGTCTCTTGTGTCCCAGTCCAGCACTTTCCCCTCGCTGCCATGACTGTACACGGATCTGAACACAGGCTTACTCACCTCTGTGTGTCAGGGGAACGTCAGGATGTGCCTGGTGCTCTACATCATTAGCAACAGGTAAAGAACTTCTGTCATTGCTGCAGGCAGTATCATCTGTGCTGGTTTTTTTGGGTCTCCATTAAAGATATTTTGTCATTATTAAAAAGGAAGGGAGATTGTTAATTGTTTCAGTAACCATCCAGTAGCCAATTCAGAGGTCTCCAGGGCATCTCATGAAAACTAGTTTGAGGATCGGACATCTAACCCAGTTCTCAGCACATTAACTTTGGGTAAGCTATAGGTGACCCCAGGAAGACTCAAAGAATCACATGAACCCAACCATTAACATTACATATATATGCATTTTTGCAGGGGCATAGAGGAAAAAACTGATGCATCAGCAATTCTGCTGGAGGTTCCCCTGTCTTCCCAGAGCAGTGTCAGTTTTACTGCCTATTGTACCCAGCATCAGGCTGCAATGTTAGCTACAGTGGAAATGATGTCTTTCCAAAGAGAGTCACTGGGTTTTACTCCACAAAATTCTTCCTCCCTTTGGCCCAAGGAATTCCCCTGCCTTAGACTGTGGGGTTGTCTGTGGGGAGGAACATATGGGGGAATGTTGACATGTGCTACTGGAGCTCAGCTGTGTGTGCTGGAGCTGCACTGAGTACATTACAATGCTGCAGTCACCCTGTGCATGTTCCCAAGCCAGCAGGGAAACCTGCATACTCCTGACTTTGCAGGTGGTGAAATCACCTTGCTACTGAGCATTGTTGCTCTGGCACTCCAGAAATTGCCATCCAAATGTGTTTTGTGGGATTGTGTTTGTCAGGAGGGGAACAGCTGGACACCTCCCACAGCACTCTGTGGAGACCAAAGCCTGGTGAGCCCTTGCCCGTGTTGTAGGGGAGAGCTGGCAGCACGTGCTGCACAGTGAGCACTGAGCATCCCCTGCTCTGCATCTCCTCTGGAGCAAAGGGAAGGGTAGGATTTCTGTCACGTATGTGTGCCACTCTGCCACGGCTCTGAATGGCGCTTTACAAAATAGATAATGATGTCTCATTGCTCCAGAGAGTTCCCAAACTAAATTAAGAGAGAATGATGGGAAGAGATGGCCATACAATGAGGTGCAGATGCTGGGAATAGGGATAATGAGGGGGGAACAATATGATTATGTCCTTTCAAAGCAAACGCCTCAGGGTAGCTACTTTTGGGGACAGAGTATAAAAGGGAGATGGGGAAGATGTGACTCAAAGGCAGCATCTGCACAGGGTTCCAGTCTGCTCTCAAGAGCAGATTTGTCTACTGGGGAGCATTTGTTGACTCTCAGATCCCTGCAAAAAGACTGCCTTAACCCACGCTCAGAGGCTCTCAAGGACAAACAGGTAATGTGAATTAGCATGAGGCCATGGTGTCATGGTCAACAACAGCCCAGGCCACAGGGCTTGAGAATGACTTAAACATCCAGAAATGAGCATATCTTTATGCATCTGCTCAAATCTTGTTATGATGGGAAGTTTTAGAGAGGAAGAAGTTGACAAGGTTTTATTTAAAATAACTTCTTTCTCTTAACTCCCCAAAAGTGGTCCAATGAAGGAAAAAACTGAGAGAAGTGATGGAGGAGGGCATTCCTGATGAGTAACTTCAGATGAGTGAAGAGGGCCTAGGGGAAAGGAAGGGTGTCAGGAGCAGCTGGGATGGCTGTGGGAGGTATGCAGAGAATCAGGGTTTTGCATTGTTTAGTTAGGCATGAGGAACCACAGAAGATATTTTAGGAGCATGTGCAGGGGATTTAGTGCTGCCAATGGGGAATGTTTTTTGCAACAGGGCACTGAGCAAAGTGTAATGCAGGTTCCAGCTGGAGCTTGGAGACAATGAGGTTACCCACAGTGAGGAGATGGGTAACAAAGGCTTTTTTTTTAAAGGGAACTAAGAAGAAAAATTTCAAGGAGAGTTTAATAATTATGGTTAGACTCTTAAGAGCTGCAAAACTATTTTTATTGACATTGGTTATGTCGTGCTCATTTGTACTGGCTGAAGGTCTTGCTGGTGACGTGGAAAGACCCTGTGCTTTGTGCCAAGGGATCAAGACAATATGTAGCCAGTCCAGGATGACGGGGGAGAGGAGAAGTAGCTCTCATTGCATCACCCGACCAAACTCTGCTCTATATTTCTTGGCCTCAGGTCTGGGACCTGGGCCAATGCCAATTAAATTGGTGAGGGCACAGACAAGGTTAATGATAAAGTTAATCTCCCATTGCTGATTGGTGAGGGATCCTCTCAACTTGCAACTTTTGTCCATTTGCAGTTAGCAGAAGAATGAAGCAGAAGGAGGCATCCTCCTTATTTCCAGCTGGGTTCCATCACAGTAGGAATATTATACAAAAGTATCACTCTTTTTGCTCTTATATGCTGCATTTCTCCCAGAAGGATGACAATTTTCTTATACTAAAAAGGACTTTCTAGAAGAAACCTTGGAAATTGCAAGCTGGTCTCAGTGCAGTTAGTAGTTTATATGTAATCAATGAAACTTCACTTGCCTCTTTTCCTCTCCTCAGTCCCACCTTCATTTGGCTGGGACCAAGGAATGGGGCATCATGGGCACAAACAGCATACTCAGAGCTTAAGAACCCCAAAACTAAGGTGACTTTTTAAACTGTGCAACCAGAGAAAGAAGAAATTAAGTAGAGGAACAAAGCAGCATCACAGGCTGTGTATTCCCTCTCTGCACCAGTCCTTTGGGTCCTAAAGGATGGGGCTGTCTCAAGAGCAGCTGCCTTTTTAACCCAGTGTACAAACCAGAACAATACCCTGCGAGGGATGGCCACACTTTTTGCAGTCTGCATCCACAGATTTCATTGCTGGAGTTCAAGATGGCTGATTTCTTACCTCCCTCAAACAGGCTGCTGACAGAATCAGTCACGTTGGAAGCTTTCCTTCAGTGTGTGCAAGCCCCTAATTGTCAC